ATGACCATAAATTCATATGAATCTCCAAATTTGCTCATTCCTCGCTCCTTTAATCGTAACATTAACGTGGTATTTAGATAAAGAATTAATAGACAAACTGTTATCTTCATCTCAAAGAAAAGCTGACTGACGATCATCACAAATTACTATAAAATAATTGTTAAAATTAAGAGCAATTTTATCAATGAAAAGTTGTTAGAAGTAACTAATGAAGAAAATATTAATAAATTTTTTATTTATTTCCTAATTAATATGCATTTCAACTACTTCCGAGCTATTTCTGAGTATTGAGGATTTGAAAAATATTTTAAAAGTAAAGATGACATGTAGGCACCACATAAGCGTTTAAGGAAGTATTAGAAGTACTTTTTTTAGAAAACCAAATATATTTTTTTGCTTAGAAGTAGCAGAAGTAGCATCTACTTATTTTACATCAGCTACTTCATAATTACTTTCGTACAAATAAACGGGCCAATTATTTGGCTCCTAAACAAGCCTATCAGATTAATATGTCTCGGGTAATTATATATAATTCATAAAAATGACATTATTCCTTTATTTTGTTTTTAAATAGAAGATGAGCTATTTTTATTATTAATGAGATTTTAATGCATAGGTATATCCCAACAATGTTTACATTCCATACTTGTCTCAACCGATGCACAATCATACACCACAAATAGCCTCACAGGTGCAAGTTAGAAGTGTATAAATTGTTGGGGAATTTCGATCTCCCCGCCTATTACGATTTGCACAACTTGAAAGCTAATTCACAATCAACAAGATATAAAACAACTACAATTAAGAAGAAAGAACACCGAGATTTACGTGGTTCGGTCGACTAACTTCGACCTACATCCACGGGCAACAATACAAAAAATCCACTATGTATCGTGGAAAACTACAAAATGAACCACTCAACTCTCGTCTCTTAATCTCTCAACCTCACATACATAATCAATTCTCATATATTATCTCCAAAGTCCTCTCCTTACAATCTTTTGAACGGACAAAGACTGCGAAACCCTCTCCCAATGGTGTAATCTTTTGCACAGACAAAGACTACGAAACCCTCGCCTCTCGCACAATATTTTTGAATCAGGCTACGCCCTATGCTAACTCTAGATTACAAGAATATTGAATCTCTCTCTCTCTTCTTCTTGGTTTTTCCTCCAACAATAGAAGAATATATATAGGGAAACCAAAAACCTATCTCTAGCCTAACTTTCTAATTAGAATTGGATTCAAACTTCTACTCATATATGATAAGACTCAATCTCCTAATCATGATAGATCTCTAACCCTATCTAATTCTCATAAAGTTATACAAAGAATTAAAGACACAATCCCAACAATCTTCACATTGGATTTGATTCCCAAACCACCTCGAAGATCTACCATTGTCGTCTAGAAACTTTACATCTCATGCTAGCGCCTTCTATTCCTTTCGCACTTCAAATCGAACCACCTGCACTCCAACTGGATGCCCATATGACCCTCACTTTCATCTGTCTCGCTGTGGCGCCTCCACCTCTCTTCTGCGCACCAAGAGATCTTCGCCACATCTGACATTAGAAGTAAATCAACAATGCTTCTCCTCCCAATCTGAACTTGACAGTAGCCTTCCCCCACTTGTTGTCCTCATACTCCACTTGCATCGCTCGTCTCGAATCATGTTAATGCACCTTTCCTACTCCACACGATGAGCCGGATGTCTTTATCCTCTCCATCACTTGCCTTGGATCAAATATGAGCACTCGTCGTCTTCAAGTCCAATGTCATCATCTCCATCAGCATGTGTGTCACTCAGTCATGCTTGCTTGCAAGCTCCACCTAATCTGACATTGTCCTCCTCGAGTCTACACACAAACCAACTACTACTCTCATGATGACTCTGAATAATTATATGCTGACAACTCTCTGCTAGAATCACGTCTGATTCTTTACGCCAGTCTCATCTGTTGCATACTTGTTTGCCCCATCTGCCATCAGATCTGTCTTGTCATTACCGTCAAAAATTTTCTATACTTTCTGACTAATTTGAGCATAATCTGAAAAATCAAACCCTCTCATCGTGTTTAGAGAACTCCAAAACCTAGGAATCAACTCATGGATAGTCAAAATCCTCCTCCAAACCTTTGATTAGAAGACAAATTAATCTTCTTTTTTTATTTATCTTCATCTTGATTCTTGTAACGCCGCCGATCTTCACTTTTGTACGACGTCTATCTCGCGAACTCACTCTCGGATCCATCATTATGGCTCTGATATATACCACTTGTTGGGGAATATCGGTCTCCCTACCTACTACGATTTGCGCAACTTGAAGCCAACCCACAATCAACAAGTTGAGGTCTGAAGTTATTTTGAGTACCTGTTTGAAATATAGTGAAGTATGTAATGACTTGTTGTATTCATTTGGAGGTTTCATGTATCCCCAATCCTTATACTCGGGTTCTACGTACGGTGCATTTTATGTTGCCTACTGCATATCAGATCTCAACTTCGGTCATCATAATTATGATCCGCCCTTTTGAAACAATGTTGTATTATTATTATTATTATTATTATTCTTATTATTATTATTATTATGGTTGTTATAAGCTTATGCTGGCTGTTGTGGGGTTCCTCGATCTTTTATCTCGTAGTTACGTATGTAGAAGAAAGTAAGAAATATCTCATGCATGGTTCTCTAGGCTAGTGAGGAGTGACGTCCACTCCTCCTCTTCCTCCTCCTTCTATATATAGACCCATGCCTAATACTTACTAGGGACAAATTTTCAAAACCGACCCTTTTGGGTTTTTAATTGCAAAAAACGACCGGTTTTGAAAATATTTACAAAAACCGATCTGTTTTCAGCCAGGGGCTGAAAACAAGTCGGTTTTTTTAAATTTTTTTGGGAAACTTCACGGGAGTTGAACTCCCGTGAAGTTTTTCTCATAACAAAACTTCACGGGAGTTGAACTCCCGTGAAGTTTGAGAAATTTTTTTTCAAAAACCGACCCAGTTTCAACCAACTGGGTCGGTTTTTATAAATAAGATTGAAATGTGTCGTTTTTTGCAATTAAAAACCCAAAAATGTAGGTTTTGAAAATTTGTCCTAGTGTCCTACTTACTAGCTACTCATCAGATACATATGGAACTCTGAGCGTAAAAGATCTTACTGATGGATAAATCATGTCTGCATTTGTATTGAAGTACGTAATTGAGTTTATTGTTTTTTCTGGGATGTATGTATGTCAAACTTTGAACCGAGCCTGCCCGTTGGTCGACGTTCTCGATCCAAACGAACCCGATCGGATGTTGGTGTAGCCCGTCCGGCTGATGTACGTCGGCCCCATCGACTCCCGCGACGCGCTTGCATGGCCCGGCCACCGACCGGAGTCTCGGGCATCATCGACGTATGAGACTAGATAGGACCAACGTACATCGACCGGCATCTCGTGCCAATAAACATACAGTCAGGCTCAATCGAATCGTTATGCAACCGAGCGTCCGGTTGCTCATCTGGCACGGGGCGTTAGTCGACGTACGTCGGTCCTGTCTAGCCTCATTTGCTCATTTGCATATATATATATATCCTGTTGATCTGTGTCTGCCATATCGAGCCCCCGTCCCGTCGTCGTATCCATCGATCGAGTCCCCATCGCCCGTGGCCGAGGCCCACAGGGCTTGTTCGAGACCCTTGGCCCTTGTTCGAGCGCTCTTCACTCATGGCCTGAGTCTCTCATCGGCCCCTTGCTCTATTGATGCGTGCCAAAAGCTTTGAATAGATGTGTAGTCTTGTGTATCAGAACTTGCAAAAGCCAAAATTGATTTCTCAAATTACAAGAACTACGTCCTATAGTTGTCAAAATTCTTGCTAATTAAGCTGGAAAGCATAAAGGAGCGTACCGGCCCCAGTAATTAAAAGGGAAAGACGGAGAGGATGAAGAGGGATAGAAAGAGGCGAAAATCGAGAGAGAGAAAAACACAACAATTTGAAAGAATTTGAATAGGAAGCAATTACACGGAGAATAGGAATAGGAAGCAATTACACGGAGTTTTTCTGAAATTTGATAGGAAGGAACGGGAACAGGACGCGGGCAGAGGAACATGAAGAGGCGGTTTAATATTTAATTAAATATCTTAATTTTAATAACAACAAAGCGATGTCTATGCTGCTACTTATTATTATTATTATTATTATTATTTTGATGAGACACCTTAGTTAGGTCAGTCAAGTATTACTAATAAGGCCCAAGGTTCTATGCTACTTTCTAATAGTGAAAAGAATCAAATGCGATATTAATACTTAAAGTGAATCAACTGAAAGTAATTAAGTAATTGTCTCTCTCCTATTGCACTTATTCTAACGTGTCCCTACAAGTTGAGGACCCTATTATGGACTAAAACCTCAACTCACGTTACGGTAGATTTTTTTTAAAATCCGCATTAAGCTCATATCCAGTGATATTCAAATCTGAATTGCTCTGATACCGATGTTTAATTACCTTTATCCATTAAAACAAAACTCTAAAGTTAAGTGTGTGGGTTAAGAGTTGTATTCTATTCTAAACACTAGAGGAATCCAACTCCAAGCATTCTTATCATCAGACAGATACCATGGCATATATGTTGGGCGCAGAGTCACGCCCACCGCCGCGGAAGCGATATGTCCTGAGAGAGAGCCCTGACTTTTGTTGTCACAAAAGCACAAGTCAACCTCGATATCTGTGTTTCGCGAAGGAAACCCAGACTCAGTAGCGAAATATCTCAGCGAAGTGAGATATCCACTCTTCCTCTCATCAGCGCAAGACCGAATTTTGAGGGATCCTACAAGCAATAGCCAACAACCCAGAAAACAGTAAATACACGAGATTTACGTGGTTCGGCAAACTTGCCTACGTCCACGGGAGGGGTGAGGGGAGATACCACTATAAGGAGAACACCGACGACTTGTACAATCCACAAGCTCGTCTCAAAGATCTGATTTTTACCCAAAAGAAATAAACCTCTCTTTTGTAGAATCTCTCTTTTTTTCTCTCCTCTCAAGATCTCTCTCTCTTTTTCTTCCTCTGCACAGCCGCCAAAAGAAAGCCTCTGCCCGCTGCTTGCTCCTGTTGCTTTTTCCCTTGCTGCCGAAAAAGGACCCAGTCCTTTAGCCGCAATTTTCTTCCAAAAGCCGCTGTTCCCGTTGCTTGACTGCAGCCGGCTAAAAGAAATTTCCCCACCTAGCAGCGAAACCTAGGAACCCCTACTATTCTATTTATAGAGGATTGAAATAAACGGATGAGGGCCTCTCGGGTGAGCAGCAAACATGTGAGTGGATTGAAATAAACTGATTGCTATCTCCTCACACGTTATTTGCTCACATGACGTTATCTCCTCACACACATGTGGGTGGTCCCCACTTGACACCGACACCGCTGTTCACAATATAACCCACTAACATCACAGTACCTGAGAACAAAAAAGAGAGCGAATTTAACTATATAAACAAACATAATTAGAGAGGGACGAGAAAAAAAGGAAAATTTTATTGAATGAAAAAATTGGCATATACACACGCGCTCTGTATAAATCATGAAATTGCCCCTGCTACAAAGTCTACAAACTACAAAAACCAGCGTAGATCCATAATTCTATACCTTGAGAGTAGTGAGATCAGCATCTGACGGTTTCCAGTTCTTCTCATCAACAGAAGAGAACTGAACAGCATCGTCATCATCAAGTCCATTGAAAAAGGGATCCTTCAGAAGTTGAGCGGCAGAGGGCCTTGCTCTAGGCTTAGCGATGCATCGTTTGATGAAGGCCTTGACCTCGGGGTTCTTCACCTTCTCGAGAGCTGCAGGCATTGTTCCGGCCAAGACTTTTTTATAGATCTTGGGGATGCTGTCACATTCGCTGTAGGGTATTTCGAGGGTTGCCATCTCGAGAACACACATACCAAAGGAGTATATGTCTACTTGCTCGGTGTATTCTTCTTCGTAGAGCTCTGGTGCCATGAATTCTGGAGTCCCGAGTATTGAGTGTGCTGCATGGCTCTCTCCAACTATTTTCGCGAGACCAAGATCGCCGATTTTAACCTAAGAAAAGCAAAATAATTTATTAGGAAAAAGAGTATAAATTTTTTCCAAAAGTTGGTAATGTGTTAATATTATCGACAGGAAGCTAAGATTTAGATATTCTCTTGAAAAAAAAGAGAAAAATTTTACTATCATCCCGTCACTATTTTATGGGGCGACTTGAGAAAGTAACATGGTATTAGCTTTTCCATGGTAGTTCCTCCGCTTCAGTCCCAGCCGAGGGAAAAGTATTTACTTTCTAAAAGAAAAGGAGCCTTTAATACACATTTTACAAGAGAGATGCACACTCTCTAAAGCATGTCGATGAAACTTCTTGAATACAATTGAATAAAACTTCAACTTTGGTTATTAGACTTTCTCGTCTTCCTTAATATATAGAAGAGAGAGAGAAAATTACTCGAGTATATAGAACAATTCTTTTGAATAAGGTGGATAGCAAACATCATTTTTTAAACAGAAAAGAAATGCGTATATAACCAGGAGACAAACAAAGTAATATAAAGAGAGAATCAGAATGACATCATTGAAACAGTTAATCAGGATTTATATTAAGAGATATTTTGTATAATCCTACATTAATTACTGGATCTATACCACAGAAAAAAAAAACAATAAAAGTAATCCAAAAATGAATGAGGAAAATTTTTTCTCCAGTGATTAAAACTTTAGCAACTGAAATTGGATATTTAGTAGAAGTCATGCGTATAGGAGACAAACAAAGTAATATAAAGAGAATTTAGTGTCAAAATTGTTCATAGTACTGATGATCTAGGCCTTCCGAATAGCGTCACTATATGTAGTAAACAAGGGACAGTTGGATTTGGAATTGTAGAATTAGTGTTCAAAATTTGTTCATACTACTGATGATCTAGGCCTTCCCAATAGCGTCACTTTTTGTAACTTAACACGAACAGAATTATCCTAAACTTAGAACTAAACAAACTTAATATAGAAGATTGCACGCGTCTCTAAGAAACCAAATTCGGCGGACAGAAGTGAAGAACAGTACATCAGGAATGAAATAAAAAGTTATTACAGCAATTCTACACAGCTATTAGACCTACAATATATCAAAAACAAAGAATATCCTAAAATGAACAGGGAAAAAAATGTTTGATTCATGGTTATATTTATCAGAAACTTTAATTTGAATTTGAAAAATTGCATACATTAATGGCATAAAAAATCATTAATACTATTGAGAATCAGCGCCCTACCAATAGAGTCATATGGAGTAACCAGGGATAACCAAATGGTTACCAAATTCCCCTGAACTGAGGTATTACTATAGAATATTGCATATATGATATATCTCTAACAAAAACAAATATTGAACACCTAAATGAAGAAACAAAAAGGGGGGAAACAAATTATACCTGCCCAACATTGCCATTGATGAACACATTGCTGCAATTCAAATCTCTGTGAATAATGCACGGCTCATGGTCATGCAAATACTCCAGCCCCCTCAATATCTGCCTCGACCACTTCTTCAGTGCCTTCACCGACACATGTCGGTGCTTCTTCCGATACTCCCTCAAATTCCCTGACGTGCAAACTTCCGTTATAAAATTCAGTGTCCTTTTGTTCGTATCGGTCCAGACTTTATAGAGCGAGATGATGTTTTCATGGCGGAGGGATTTCAGGAGTTTGACCTCAGAGTAGAGGCGGTCGAGCATTCGCTCATCGTTAGCGAAGCTCGAGAGTTTCACTTGGTTCCATGCAACCTCGATGCCTTCTTCTTGGTCGAAGGCTCTGTACACCCGCTTGACGGCGCCAGTACCCAGTAGGTCAGCGTATCGGCCGTGGGTCCGCCTCGATGAAGGGCTCTGCGTCTTTGTCCATTGGGTCGGGCTTAGCCCACGGCATCCCTTAAACCCTAAGAGACTGTTAAAAATTGATGAGGCTTTGCATGAATAAAGCTAGTGAAGAGTACTTAAATAAAACGCTAGGTTTGTACTGAGTTTCCTATTTCGGATGGGAACATACAGCTAATTGTATTTAGGAAAAACCCTTTTTGGACAAGGAAATTTCTTTAACCCGTCTAAGATTACTAAAACACAATAGTGCCTGAGAATTCTTTTTGGAAAATTATACTTATTTTATTTTAAAAAAACTGAAACTAGAACTAGGATTATTTTGAATCTTTTTTTTTTAGCAAGAAAAAAAAAACTGCAATCAAAGAAAAATATCAGGAAGTAATATTTCGCTAGAAATCTTCACAAAAATGAAAACTATAAAGTGAAAAAAGGTGGTATTTTTCAAAGAAAAGAAAAATTCCCCTTTGTGGATGCATTCATGAATCTAACTAAATCATTGCTCGGGGAAAAATAAACAGTTCTACAAAACAGAATTTTAACTGAAAGCTATCGAAAGTAAAAAAAAAAGTTAGTATTTTTTAAAGAAAATCAGATTTTCTCTCAGCGGATTTGCTCATAATTCAACAACATATTCAAGAATTCGCCGTCTTTTTCGAATTTATCCGAACAAAACCGTTAAGATTCCGTCAAAAGATCCTAACTCAGAACAAATCATCACCAAATCCAACAGAATTTACCTCAATCAACGGCGAAAAGAACGGCGGATAGCTCTCTCTGAGAAAAACCCTAGCTACTAGATGAAGACGGAGGCGGCGCAGATCACGAGGAAGTAGCAAGTTCTTGACTCCTTCAAATGTCGTTGCTGGATCTTCGAAGCCATCGGATTGTGATCTCCAACAAAGCTGCAGATTTCTGAATCAAGAAAAATAAATAAATTAAAGACCAAAATAAAAAATTTCACGTAGAAATAAATGCAAAACCCTAGAGATTTTGCTACCTGATGAACGAAGAGAGAGAAAAGCTGAACGAATTCCGGGAGAGAGGAGGTGAGAAATAAGGGTGGGGGAGGTATTTATAGGTGTTGTGGATATTATTAATTAGAGTTTCTATCCTAATAAAATTTCTAAATCGAATTAAGGATTTGACTTGTGAAAGGATGATGTGTCGGCTTTGCTTTGACTTCTTGAAATTACGTATTTGCCCCCATTTATTGTGAAATTGCCCCCACAAACTCGCGTATTGGGCACGTCTACTCCTCCCAAGCTAACAATGTCGGTCACATGATCGAAGACACGCGAAGGCTGCGTAACTTATCGGATTATTGAAATATCTATTCGGCTAATGATCTTTTGATCTTAAAAAAATTGGGCGATGTCAAAATTTTCAATAATTTTCAAGACGTTTGCAATGTTTTCATGTTTAATATTGTTCAATAGAAGGGGTAAAAGAATCAATTTGAGGGCTTGGGGGGTAATTATATAAATATCAAGATTTGAGGTTAATGCTGCAAATATGAAAGATTTGAAGGGTATATATGAAAAAAAAAACCTAGCTTGTTTTGCTCCAAAATAGTTCCAGACTGGAATTTCTTAAAACCTTTGATGTTTATTTATTTATTTATTGAAGTAGCTATCAAAATTTGTCAATAGGAAGTATTATGTTCAAAAACTTTGTTGCTGTAGCTAAGTTAAAAAAAGGAAAAAAAACTAAAATTTGTTATTGTAGAATGTAGACGTAGTAGTCGTTCTTTTAGAGAGAAACATTACTTGCTCTTACCATTGGAGGTCTTGCTATTTTACAAGAGAAGAAGATGGAAAATCTAGAGAGATAGAGAGGGGAAAAAACTATGACTTTGTTTTGTAGAAAATAAAGTGCCACAAATGACGCAACAACAAATATTATGTGTACTATTTGCAATAGAAAATCTGTTTTAAATCCATTACGATATCTGTAATTTTATTGTGCAAAATGTATTTTCATTCTAAATTTTTAGTGTTTCGAAAAAAAATTTGATTCTAGACAGACACAATAGTTTTGGAATGAGCTATGAAACTTTTAACACCTCACCGCTTTTTTAAATTGACCTCTATTTTGATAATTTGGTATCTCAAATTATCAAATGTGCAAGAACTTTGATGTTTGTTGATTTATCAATATTAAAAATGAACGAGAAATAGTTTTCCTTACCCAATTTCACTTTTGTGAGTGGGGGACGTGAGGAACAAAGTTAAGGTTTTGTGATGTCAATTTGCGAACTTTGGGTTGTCGACATGTTAAAAGTTGAGGTACCAAAGTAAAGTGGATGAAAATTTGAAGTATTAAAGTGCAAATTAGTCATTTGGAATTGAGGAAAGAATTTGTGATGAGATGGCTTCTTGTGTTTTAATTTTCTTTTTTTAAAGAACCTACGACATTGGTTGAAACTGTACGTGGGGAATCGTACAGCAGTTGTTTTAAAAATTGTAACTTTACTTAACTTTTCTAGTCACAATGTTAATAATTAAATATAAAATCTTTCTGGAGTATTCAGTTCTGCAGCACCATTTTTTTCCCAACCAAAAATATGTAGTAAACTTACCGCTTACATGCTTTTTACTCTTCGGTAAGCGCATAGACTCTGCAGTACAGTATCACACTTTTCAATTTGAATAACGATAATTACACCGCTCTCTCGTACTCTATTTATTTTTTAAAGGGAATGGATCCTGTACATTTATGTCTTGTGTAAAGAAGAAGTAGTATAGTAGTGTAGTTATCAATACTTTAGAGTTTAATATCAACGTAATTTGATTGAGGGTGATAAAATTCCCAATTGAATTTTTTATTGACGTTTTTTTTTACCTTGGATGAAATTTTAGTAGATTTCCTTCAAGAGAAGGTGTTTTTTCAGCATCGGCAACGAAATCAGGAGTCGAAAAAGCAGACACTTACACTAACAGTCGATAGTGCGCCAAAAGCAGGTGTTGGTTAGCTAGACCGACCCATTCACCGTTCTACACATTTCTCTGTTATGGAGTCCTACTCTGCTTGGAAAGTCTTATATGTTTTGAGATCTGTTTGGAATACTATAAATATGTACGTTCTCCTAGAACTATATAGGACATGAGAAAGAGAGTGAAAAACATTGAAATAACAAGAAAGGAAAGAGATGTTTTTGTAGCTTTTGTTCGAGAGATTCAAAAAAATTCTAGGATTTCTTATGAGGGAGAAGAAAAACTGTGGGAGGAATCGAGAAAAAGATGACAGTGGAAATTCATAGATCTCTACCAAGGATGTATCACTAAATTAAGATGAGCCTCGTAAAAATCTCGTGTCTCTAGTTTAATATCTTATTTTCTTATATATCGATCTTACTGTTTCGTTGTCATATGTTTTTGTCTGCAAGGTTCCTGTAGCATAGGGATTCAATTTTAGCAAGTTAGAATCAGGATGATATTGATTGAAGATTTAAACCTTCCCACTATTTCCATTTAGGATCTTTTTCACAGAAACCACTTTCAAAATAGGCCAAACCTATATAAATCACCTTTCAACTTTTTTTTAACACATGAATCACTTTATAAGTAGACTTAGCTTTCAATCAACTACAACATGGTAAGTTCTGCTTAACTCTTATCAGAAATGCCCAAAATACTCACCTCATCCACCCTATCTCCAACCTCCTCCTCCTCCTCCTCCGTCTCATTTTCGCCTTCCTCCTCCATCCATGCTCATTCCTCTTGCATTTATTCTCCCCCCCCCCCCCACACACACACACACAAAACCAAACCAATCTCAACTGTATAAAATGTGGGTTGAGGTGAGGAAGAAGGGAAGAGGGTGCAGGTAGGTGGGGGTATGTCAGTGCCAGATTTAAAATTTCTAGAAAGTAGTGTCACTATATAATTAATAATTATAAATTTTATAATTGTTCTTGTCGAGTTTTTATAAATCGAAAAAAGTACATTTTGCATCATTAGTAACATTATCAAATATAACTTTCATAATTAGTGGCATTACAAATAATAGGGTGACCTAATATTTATTAGGGTCACCTTACACTTCTAATGATGTATTTTTCTAATATTTTAGTAGGGTCACCTTACACTTCTAATGGTGTAAAAGTACATGTCGCATCATCATTAACATTATCAAATACAACTTTCTCAATTAGTATCATTACAAATAATGGGAAAATTTGTAAAATAGACCGTTTTTATAAAGTAATTAGCGAAATAGACCACTTTTAAAAGTAATTAGCAAAATAGACCTCTTTTTGACCAATAGGCCAAAAAGAGGTCGATTTTGAAAAAATGGCTTCAGAAAACATACGGGACTACTAGTCCCGTATGTTTAAAGCTAACTAAACTAATGATTAGTGCACTAATCATTAGATTAGTTAGCTTTAAACATACGGGACTAGTAGTCCCGTATGTTTTCTGAAGTCATTTTTTCAAAATCGACCTCTTTTGTCAAAAAAAATGTTTATTTTTGCTAATTACTCTCAAAAGTGGTCTATTTCGCTAATTACTTTATAAAAACGGTCTATTTTGCAAATTTTTCCTACAAATAATAGGTTAATCTAATATTTTAGTGGGTTCACCTTATACTTCTAGTGGCATATTTTTCTAATGAGGGTAGGGTTAAAAAATGGTCGTGTTATCATGGTCTGTGGATTGTGGAGCAAAGTGGGGTCACTTGACCCTACTTTGCACCATGTAGATCCGCCAATGCGGTATGTAGCTAGGATGGGCGAGGAGAGAGAATGGAGAAGAGCATTTTTGACATATAGGGTAAAAGTTGAACAGAAATTGTTCTTAGGTGGTTGATTGAACGATAAAACCACTTATAAAGTGGTCTCTATAAATTTTAAAAAAAAGTAAAAGGTAATTTCTATCAATTTGACTTATTTTAAAGATGGTCTTTGAGAAGATATATACCCTTACAATTAATCCTTTCTTTCTTCGATCAGGACTGATTTTTATTACTAGGCCAATTTTGCTTTTAGTATTTACCTGACTCAAGAATAATGTTGACTGGATCAAATTGCAAGGTATAAAAAGGTGTAAAGATTCACAGGCCATCAAACTTTTTTATGTTGGTGTTACATTCTTTGAACTTTTAGATCCACAATGTTCCAGATGTAAAAAGAGACGCAAAAGAAAAAAAATCAAAATTGATAGCAAATTAGCAAATTCCACCAGTCACTAGTTTCTTCTGAATTTGGTCTTGTATACATTTTATTAAAAAAAAGTTTATCCAGAGTAGAGCTTTAATGTGACTCCATGGATTTTTTGTGCAACAAGTTATGGCAAAATGTATCTTCTGCATTTGCATGAAACATGTGACTAGATGATTAATTTGCACTTTACTTATTCATGCATGAACTCTTTTCTAGACATTGTACGAAGCATTTACGTTTGTTTTCTTGATTTATTTTTTCGTTTGATGAGAGGTTGGGTTATATATGAATTATGTGTAACACTTGTCATATAGAATTACTTTTGATGTCAAATTTCAAAAAAAAAGGTTAATGGACCGTCAAATATTTTTATGAAAGATAGTCCAAAAATAAAATTCATTTTAGGATGGTTTATCATGAGTACCTTGTTGCGCCCGACGGAAGCGTGCACAATCCACGACGAGTCGGTAAACAACGCAAGAAAAACACCACTGTTTGGTTCAAAAGTCGCTGCTGTGGAATTCATTATAACTTTGTTCTATTACAACAAATTCGAAAGAATAATCTTTTTATAAGACTTTTTCTACACAACAAATCAAAAATTACAACTCTTGAGAAACAAACACGAAAATCGTCTATCAATTCTCGTTTTCGTGGGACTTTGCCTGTGCCGGGAACGCTTTGGTTCGTGGACCGCCGATTCACAGATCGTGAAGAGGGGGCTTATGATTCTAACTTCGTTATCGAAGTAGAAATTGAAACGATATCTTATCGAAGTAAGATAGTCGTTCTTCTTAAAATCAAGTCGAAGCTTAATTTCAAGGCGTTGCAAGAAAAGAACTCAAATCTGCTCTCTCTCTGCTCTGGAATGCTCTAACAAATGCTCGATCCCCGTCAGAAGTGACCCTAGGGGGGTATTTATAGCCC